AGTGTTTCTCCTTCTCCAGCACAGCATCTGGTGGATTTGAACTGTGCACCTCTGGGATTGCAGTACACCTCCTTGCCACTAGGCCACCAGAGCTCGCCAGGAGGCTGGATTTTTGTGAGGAGGAATGTGGCATCAAAATTGGAGGAAGATTCATCAACAAATTGTGCTATGTGGATGACACAGCCTTGCTTGTTGAAAATGAGGAGAACGTGAAGCATTTCCTGCAGAGGGTCAAGAACTGTATTCTTCAACGTGAATTGAAGCTCACCATCGAGAAAACAAAGATCCTCACCACTGGGCCAATTGGCAGCACCATGATAGATGCAGAAGAGATTAAAGCTGTTAACGATTTCTCCTTACTCAGATCCACAAGCAACACTCTTGGAACCAGCAGTCTGGAAATCAAAAGATTAGAAAAATCTGCTGTCAGGGACCTCTCCAGAGTGAAAAAGAGCAATAATGTCAGTCTAGAGACTAACATGCACCTGATCCAGGCCATGATCTTCCCAATGACTTACTGTGCCTCAGAGATCTGGACAATGACTAAAAATGACGGACGAAGAAGCATCAATGCCCTTGGGTTGCGGTACTGAAGAAGATTGTGCTATGGACTGGCAAGAGAACAAACACGTCTCTTCTGGAGAGGGGTAAAACCAAGTTGCTCCATGAAGGCAAGAATTTTGAGGCTCCATCTCACATACTTTGGCCATGTGGCCAGGAGGAACACGTCTTTAGAGAAGGACATCATGCTTGGAAGAGTGACGGGACAGTGCAGGAGAGGAAGACCCCAGATGAGATGGCTTGACTGGGGTAATGAGGATAGGTGTGTCTGAGACAGTGAGATCAACTAGGGATAGGACAGAACTCAGAGCTATCATGCAAAAGCTTGCCACCATTGTCAGCAGGTTGGCACAGAACAATAGGATGGAAAAACCACCACCACAAAATGCCCTTCCGTAACTCCTCTAGAAATTCTTCTCAAACTCTCAGTGATTTAGCACCGCATCTGAAAGATTTCCTCAAGATTTTGGGAACTGGGAATGAATTGTCCCTGGGGATTCACAACATCAGCGTCTGCGAGACTTCTCCCACACTCATACCACCTGTGGGAAACTACGCCACCCCAAGCTCAGGCAACCAAGTTTCTTATCACGTGACTTCAGCTATCAACAGATTTGGTAGAACTGGTCACCTGATCCAGAGGCATTGAAATCATTGGCCGTTCAAGAACTTATGGCTGAAGGGAAAAAAAAAAAGATGAGCTGGGCCAATCACATTCTCTTTCTCGAGACGATAGCTGACAAAACCGGATAGAGTGAAGCAACTGATGCTGGGAGGTGAGGTTGGAAGTGTGAGGTAGGGAGATAGAAGGGATCAGCCCACAGCTGAGCAGAAACTGTGAAAGGGCAAAATTATTCATGAAATACAGAAAGTCATTATACAACCAAATCAATTAGCTTGGGGGGGGGGTTGGTAGTGGCATAGTGGGTAAGGAGATAAGCTGACCACCCAAAGGCAGGCAGTTCAAATCCACCAGCTGCTCTGTGTGAGAAAGGTGGACCTACAGCCTCTGAAAACCCTCCGGAGGCTTGGCTGTGAGTGAGTGACTCTGGCAAGACCCAGGTCACCTCGGAAACATGTGGAATTATTTTCTGAACTGTTGTACTCCCCTTGCAATGTTTCTTTACTCAGACAAGGTAAACATGCATGATTTATTTTTAGGACTGTACAGTAATCAGAATTTACAGTTTACCTTTGCAGATTAGAGATAGGAAAGAACCTGTTTCTGAGAATAATTGCATATGCGTGTAATCTTGATTTGTGGTATAAGCAAACCTGAAGTTCAGTCAAGGTCAAGTAAACACTTTGGAGTACTATGACGCCCGTCAGACTGGTGCTGGTACCTCTCTGTAAAATGCAACTCTTACTTCCTGTTGACCTGAGTCAACGTTTGCGTCGTGCCAAGCCAAGGGCCCTTTTGAGTAACAGGGAGGCAGGAGACATGAAGAGGGAAGGAATAAGATAGAAAGGACTTATCTCTTTTGAGCATTTGATTTATGTTCCCATTTCTCTCTCCAGGACAATTTGCATTAAGCTCCTGTAGTAATGAAAACTTCTCAAAATATCCTTTCCTCCATTCAGTGGGTTCCAAGCTTTAAGGTGGACACCAGCAATGACGTGATCTTCATTCCTTCTTCCCATAGCAGATAACCCCAAACAGCCCTAAACTGTGTGAAAGGTTCCTATTTCTCTTAAAATAGCCTGCCTTCACAAACTGAGATTTGTACACCAATGTTTATAGTAGCAGCATTATTCACCATCGCAAGAACATGGAAACAGCCCAGATGTCCAACCACAAACGAATGGATTGAGAAATTATGGTACATTCACACAATGAAATACTATGCAGCATGCAGGAGCAATAACTTTGTAAATTATTACCTAATTTGGGAGGGACTGGAGAGCATTATGTTGAGTGAATAACTCAGTTCCACAAGGATAAATATTGTATAAGACTGTTATTTCAGAATGAGTATAAGGATCCAGGAGAGGCGAGAGAGGCTGGAAACAGGAGGATGTGGATGTGCAGGGGGAAGAGAGGATTAATCACTGGGTTGTATAATTTGATGGGGGGGGTGAGGAAAATTGAAAGAATCTATTAGAATTTTGTAAATAAACTAGTGGGGGGGAAATGGGCAGAGGTGTAATTATAGGGTAGGATGATGTGAAGGATAGAGCGAGGAATGGATAAAGGAAATGGGGAAAAATTTAGTGTGAAAAACAATGTATGCAAACTTTTTAAGAAAATCAATATAAAATTAAAATTTATTTACAAAAAAGTAGCCTGCCTTCAGTCACCCTTTGAACCCACAACAAACACAATCACCCCTTCCCAAGCTCAACTTGCAGCAGACAATAGACCATTATGATAACAATCACACCAGGAAGACACTCACTCCTAAGAAGAATCAACTTACAACTTCGGAAAGGATGGTATTTACCCAGGAAAAATGCTTAGGAAGCAGAAAGGGATAGAAGGATGAATGGAAATGAGAATCACAGGGAGGAAATGGGAGGAGTGTGCTTACATTGTGTGTATTACAATTAATGACATAACTCGACATTTGTATGACTGGCTGAATGGAAAAATCAATTGGCCTTGTATACTTTCACTCAAACCACAATAAAAAACTTGTGGAGCATCTGGTTTTTTTAAGTGAAGGGTTGGTAGTTTCAACCCATTTGCTGCTCCATGGAAGGAAGATGTGACAATCTACTTCTGTAAATATTGACTCGTTGCTGTGGGGTAAATTCAGACTCATAGTGTCCCTGGAGGACAGAGTAGAATAGGACAGAGCAGAATAACTCCACAGAGTTTCCAGTGCCACCACCTTTACAGAAGCAGACTGCTTTGTTTTACTTCCTTGAAGCAGCTTATGGATATGAACCCCTGACCTTTTGGTTAACAGCAAAGTGCTTAAACACTGGAGCACCAGACCTCCTTCCTAGAAACATCCCAGCCTTGGAAACTTTACAGGGCAGCTCTACGTGCTATCCATCAGAAAGCTGGACAATGACTAGGGAGGATAGAAGGAGAATTGATGCCTTTGAACTGTGGTGTTGGAGAAGAGTATTGAGTATACCATGGACTGCTAAAAGAATGAACAGATCCATCCTGGACAGGGTGAAGCCAGGCTGCTTCTTGGAGGCAAGGATTCTGAAGCTTCGTCTGGCACACTTTGGACATGTTGCAAGGAGGGACCAGTCCTTGGAGAAGGACATCATGCTTAGGAGGGTGGAGGAACAGTGCAAAAGAGGAAGACCTTTGATGAGATAGATTGATTCAGTGACAGGGGAAATGGGGATAGATGTGTCAGAGACATAAGATTGGCACAGGATAGAGCAGCTGTCAGGGCTCTTGTACATAAGGTCACTATGAGTTGCAGGTGACTTGATGGCACATAACAACAACAACTGTCCACTGTAAGTTGGAATGGACTGGATGGTACTACATTTAGTTTGAGGGGTTTGGGGGTTTTAAAAAATTTTGTTATTTTTTTGTGTGTACCATCAAATCAGATCTGACTGGTACAAGAGGAGATTGCCCCTCCTTCTCTGGCAGAGCACCTGGTGGATTCGAACTGCGTCCGTCTGGGATTGCAGTGCAGCTTCTTGCCACTAGGCCACCAGAGCTCTCCTTAGTTTGAGTTTTGATCAACACTGTTTCTTGATCTAAATGGTGGTTCTAAATATGTGTGTGTGTGTAAATCTTTAAACTGTATACATATTACCTGTATTGTGTATGCAAATGAAAATAAAGAGGATCACCCTCCCACCCCCATCCCCAAAGCTTTCTGAACTTTAGCTGTTCAGAAAAAAGACACAAAAAATAAAATCGCCTTCAAGTCTGTATTTCACGGGGTAGTCTGTTGGTTATTGGAAAACCCCTGTGTCTTCTTAATCTGGAAATAGATAAAATATGTCTACTCTGTCTAGAAAAGAGAGTCAAATCTCCAAGCAGTAGTGACAGCTTCTGAAATCCTATTCTCTCCAGAATTTCCATTCAATCTCCCAGTGAGTGAACTCACCCCACTCCAACCTATCGTGTCCCGTGTAGTCAAAGAAGCAAGGAGCTATACTCATGATCTATTTATTATGACAGAATCTAAGACACACACCCCACACGCACCCCAAGACTCAATCCCTGATGCCTGCAGTCTTCTTGATCCAGTCCAGGTAGCGGCAGAGATTGGTATAAACTCCAGGTCTCTCAGGCTGCCCGCAGGGGTCTGAACCCCAGGACGTGATGCCCTGGAGAACGCCACCACACACCAGAGGGCCCCCAGAATCACCCTGTAACGAGAAGGCGAGATGAATTACACCTAAACCTACAAAGTTCTTTTCCCTGTTGTATCCCGCATTTAATACTAGTTGCTTTGCATAATTGCTCCTTTCTAGCCAATGGGGATCATCCATTGCCTTCTGGGACAAAACATAACAAAGGATGCAGGGAGGGGTGGGACTTCCTTGTACAAGGATACTGATACGCTGTCTAAAGACATTGGCGCAAATTCTAACCAATCAGGGAAGACAATGCTGTTTTCTTTATCCAATCAAGAGAGAGGAGCGTGGATGCTGAGCATCGATTATTGGAGGCGTTTACTTGACTCTTCCAGCCATGGTCTCTGTAGTGTTCAGTAGGTATCATTCCCATCATGCAAATATGAAGTGCTTGCAGTCTGCTCAGAGGATCTGGACAACTTATTAATAATGTAAATATAGTAAATGACATCTTCATGGGATGGGACTACGTAAACAAGCTATATAGACTGCTAACCTGGGATGGGTCGGTTTCACCAGCCTGCCGGGCTTGAAAGAACCATCGTAGAGATGGAATAAAGGGATCTCCCTGGCAGAAAGTTGGCGCTCTGGGGACACAGTCCATAGGGAGCTATTCAAAAGAGACGTAGGGAGAGAGATGAAAATTCTTTGGTTTAACATATGGCCTCAAAAACCCAATGGAGGATCAACAATGGAGAGGTGGCAGAACAGAATCAGGAAATCGTCATGAGACAGAGCTAGAGATTGGTAGTCCGCAGGTCAAGAAAGCTGAGTGTCTTTGAGGCAGGAGAGTCATAGTGGTGGAGTGGATGCCTTTGGGGCATTTGTCCAGGAGCTAAGTTTGCCAGACCACAGAGCCAGACAGAACCTCAGACCTGGACTTGTTTTGAGTAAGCTGCTTTGGGGTATACTTCTGGTGGCCTAATGGTTAGGGAGTTCTTCAAAGAACCCAAAGGCAAGTGGTTGGGATCCACCAGCTATGCCTTGGGAGAAAGATGAGAAATGTCCTTTTGTACCATTTATAGCCTCTGAAAACCCCTGGGAGGGTGAGTTAATGAATGAGTCAGGAAGGAAGGAAGGAAGGAGCGGGAGGAAGGAAGGAAGGAAGGAAAGAAGGAGGGAGGGAGGGAGGAAGGAGGAGGAGAGGAAGGAAGGAAGGAAGGAAGGAAGGAAGGAAGGAAGGAAGGAAGGAAGGAAGGAAGGAAGGAAACCCAAACAAAACTATGGCTTGTGTAAGTCACACCTTAGTCTTTAAACTGACACCATTGCTCTTCAGCACTTTGAAGAGGTTCTTGACAGCAGATTTTTCCCAATGCAGCAATTTTTTTCTTAACTGCTGCCACCATGGATGTTGAGAACAGATCCAAGCAGAATGAAATTGTTGACAGCTTCAATCGTCTTTCTATCTATCATGATGAGATAGATTAATACAGTAACCGGAGTAATGGGGATAGGTGTGTCAGAGTCAGTGAGACTGGCTCAGGATAGGGAGGGCTTCAGAGCTGTTGTACATAGGGTCACTATGAGTCACAGGTGACTTTTCGGCACATAATAACACCATGATGTTACCTCTTTGCCTACTGGTGAGGATTTTTGTTTTCTTGATGTTGAGATGTAGTCCATGTTGGAGGTGGTAGTCTTTGATCTTCTGCAGTCAATGTTTCCGGTGTTCACTTCTGCGAGCATGGTCGTATCATCTACATAAAGCAATCTTCTTCCAATCTTGCCAAGTCCCATAATCATGAGTGTTGTCTGTGAGTCCTGTGTGACCATCTCAACAGATAATCAAACCCGGCAGAGAAACGGTGCAGCAGGAGGGATGGCTGATGCCAGAGTTGGTAAGAAGCTTTAGGCTGTTGATGTTGAAGGAGATTCTCCTCCTTTGAAAAGTTACAAGAGGTTGGACAATGATGCATGCACCTCAATACTGTTTTTACAGTGGGAATTATATGGAAGAAATGGAGTTGATTCTTGGCTATTGGTAAAAGAGAACACTGAATTCAATCACCAAGCCTGGAAGAATTGTTTTTCGCTGTGTGCGCATGTACATGTGGCATGGGTACACACACACATACACACACACTACCCTCAGGAAAAAGTAATGTTTCTGTGAAAAAGGAACACTTTCTCTAGGGAATGTATTTCAGAAATATTGACTCTCACAGAAGGGTCCCAGATGGAAATGGCGTCATTTTTGGCCAATGAGGAAGCCAGCACTATGTCCAAAAACCAATCATGAGCCAAAGGGGTGGGGTTTCCATGAAAGGAGCCAATCCAGGAGATGTTCTGAGACCAGTGGACTAGAAGTGGGACCAGTGAGAAGGTGAATACTGTCACTATAACAGATCCCAAGAGAAGGAGCCCTGGAAGGGAGATGAAAAGTGGCTGTGCCATTTCCCAGCTAACTGGGAAGAGAAGAGTAGCCCCCCAAAAAAACCAAGACAAGAGACAAGAGTTATGCTAGAGGAACCCAAACTCATTCTGTAGCATTGATTCCAACTCACAGCAAGCTTATAGGGCACAGTAAGAGTGTCTCAGACAGTTCCCTAGGCTGGAGTTTCTACGGATGTAACTCATCAGATCTTTCCAGGATTTCTTGGTGTTTTTGAACTGCTGGCTTTTTGGTTAACAACTAAGCACTTAACCTGTATCCCAGAGCACCTTTGGGAAACCTAACCAGGCCCCAAAAGAGAATGGCAGACTGATAGCCTAGTGGTTAGAAACTGCGCTGCAATCCCAAAGGCACTTGCTTTGAATCCACCAGATGCACCATGGGAGAAGGCTGGGTCAGTTCTGACTCGAGGGCAAACAACAGCCTAACCAGAGGTATGTTGTTGTTGTGTATTGTAGAGTTGGAACTGGCCCATCACTGACCCTCCGGTGGGTTTTCAGAAGCAGTTAATCAATCCCAAGGAAGGAGAGCACCCATCCTTCCACGGAGCAGCTGCTGGCCTCGAACCATGTGCCTTAGGGAATGCAGCGCAGCTTCTTGCCACTAGGCTACCAGAGCTCCCTAACCAGAGGTATAGCCAGTGCGTATTCCAGGAACAGAAAAAGAAAACCGAGTGTTTACTTGACTTCTAGACTGTCTTTCATTGGCTTTTTTCATCCTCTCTAATTCTCTTTTCCCAGCTTGCACCCCATTCTGGAATCAGGACTTTAAACAAACCTGTAACAATTCTGTTCTCCCAGCAGCCCATGCTGTGTGATCTTCAGTGTTTACTGTTCTTTGAACCTAGGGCTCACTCTGGGAGGTAAGAGTGATCACCCTGGGAGGTAAAAGTGGTCACTCCAGGTGCTCTTTGGGAACCCCACCTCCAAGCCTGGAACCTGTATGAGGGAGCTGAGGGAATGAGGGAGGAAGGGGGAGTTACCTGGCACGTGTCAGCTCCACCTTTGTCACCTGCGCAGACCATCCCCTCTGTGATCTTTCCCGGGTAGGCTTCCTTGCACTTCTCCCGAGGAAAGATGTTTACTTCAGCACAGTTGAGGGTGTCAGGAAAATTCTCTGAAGGGGAAAGAAGTCGTACTCAGAAAAGCGGCCCTTTTTTCTTTGTGCTTGTCCGGACCGAATTTCCTTTCTGTCTGCAGATGCAGAGAAAGTTTTCTGACACGTTTCTCAGTGTTGGTTTTTGTTTTGTGTGTCCCCCCCCCCTTATTTCTATATTAAAAGTGTGAAGGCTATGAAGAGTACAAGAAGGCACCTTCCCACAAAGGATTCTGGGAGAGAGAACCGCAGTATCTGACTGAGCTGGGACCTGGGCCAGGAAAAGACGCACAGAACTCCTGACTTCATGATAACATCAATTGCATTCCATTAACCAGTATAAAAACAACCCCATCTATCTTACTTTGTTATTGGCCTGACTCTGCTGCCCTTTTTACTTCTTCTTGGAAGGTCTCGTAGCAGCACAAGAGGCCTGCTTCTCGCAAAGGACTCTGGGAGAGAACCAGAGTAACTTACCAGGGAGGCATTAAGACCAGGAAAGTGTGCACCAAGCATAATATCAACTGGAGCCCATTGACGAGGATAGATACAACTTCGTCTATCTTGGATGACACATGATTTCTTTCTCCAGGTTCTCTGGACCTATCTTTGCATATAAGCACTAAACTATATAAACCCTACCTCACATTGCCCTGTTTGGATCTCCACTCACGTGACGTTTGATGCTGTGTTGTCCAATTTAGAGACTCACTCTCTCTACATAGCTGCTCCCATCGAGCCAATCCTGACTTATATCAACCTTCCGGGACACAGTAGAACTGCCCCAGAGGGCCCCAAAGTCTCTATAGAATTAGACTGTTATATCTTTCTCAGAGAGACCACCTCCCCCAATAGGACTAAGTAGAACAGCCCAATGGGACTTTCAAGGCCACAGCCTTTTCAAACTCTGGCCTTTTACTTGGATCCACGATCAACACCCGTAATAACAACAGGCAAGAAAACAAAAGACAATGTTACATTGGGGAAAATCTGCTCTCGAGGACCTCTCCAAAGTGCTAAAGAGCAAGGATGTCAGTGTAATGACTAAAGTGAGCCTGGTCCGAGCCATGATTTTTTTTTGTCCATTGTTTTGTATATGTTGGAAAGTTGGACCGTGACTAAGGATGACAGAAGAAGAATCGCTGCCTTTGAATGATGGGGGAATTGTTCATATGGTCACTGTACACAGTGGTTGGCTCAATGGCACCTAATAACAACAATCTTTATGTATAGTTTGCTATCTCACCTTTCTCAATGATCCGATAGAACAGACTAGGACTTCCTATCGTGTTTCCACAACTCTAATCTTTACAGAAGCAGACTATCTCATTATTCTCATCATGACCCTGCCCTAGGACAGAGATCTGTCCTGAGGGTTTCCAAGGCTGCACCTTTCTCCCTCGGATCAGCTGGTGGATTGGATTAGCCGATCAGTGCGTGGTGCAGTGCGCCACCAGGCCTCCTTCTCTGTGTGTGTGTGTGTGAGTGTGTGTGTGTGTGTGTGTGTGTGTGTGTGTGTGTAAACTCACCAATAAAGCCTTGTTTGAATCCACCTGGATTTTTCTGCCTCTTTCCCCGCCCCACTCCCCCAAATCTGGTAGTCCTCTACTGGTCAGGTAGAGTGTGACAAAATGACACCAACTCCCCCCACACTGTCCCCCCTTTCCCCAACAATGAGAGTAACAAACCTCTGGACTTTATCTTTTGTTTCTTGCCCTGCGCCAATTTCCAGTTAAGGGACAAGTGACAGAGGGCCTTGGAGGTTACCATTTGTGACACCTGCAACCTCTTCAAACTCTCTCTCTAGCTGTATGCCTTTCCCCAACCCTCAGGCCACCTGCTCCCCAATCTCAGCTCAACCTTACTTCTTCCAAACCTCATCTCCTCTTCAAAGCATTCCTTGACCACTCGAAGGTTTTCAAATAGTGATTTGAGTGAAAGCCTACAAAGTAAACAAGTTTTCCATTAAACTGTTTATACGCATTTTGGTTTATGACATTAATTCGGGAGCTCTGGTGGCCTAGTGGTAAGAAGCTGCACTGCAATCCCGAAGGCATTTGGTTCGAATCCACCAAATGCTCCACAGGAGAAGGATGCGCAGTCTGCCTCTATTGTGATGTACTGTTTCTGAAAGCTCACTGGAGAGCCAGCTGTGGGTTGCTTGATTGCAATATCACAATGTAACTGCAGTATTCCTGCTTCTTCCTCAAAAGTCTCATTTCCATTCATCCTTCTATCCTACCCTTTCTTGACCTTATCCCCGGGGCAAATGCTACTCTCTTGATCCTGCATGATGATCATGTTGTTGTTAAGTGCCGTCGAGTCGTTTGCAACTCATAGCGACCCTATGTACAACAGCCCTAAACCCTGCTCTGTCCTATACCAATCGCACTATCTCTGACACACCCATCCCGATTATTCCAGTCACTGAATCAATCCACCTCATAGAGGGTCTTCCCCTCCTGCGCTGTCCCTCCACCCTCCCAAGCATGATGTCCTTCTCCAAGGATCGGTCCCTCCTTACAATATGTCCAAAGTAGGTTAGACAGAGCCTCAGAATCCTTGCCTCCAAGGAGCAGCCCGGTTTAACCCTCTCCAGGATGAATCTGTTTGTTTTCCTGGCAGTCCATGGTACCCTCAACACCCTTCTCTAGCACCACAGCTCAAAGTCATCAATTCTCCTTCTCTCCTCCCTAGCCATTGTCCAACTCTCTGATGCATAACAAGTGATTGCAAAGACCATGGCCTGTATCAGGCGCACCTTAGTCTCCAGAGAGACACCATTGCTCTTCAGTACTTTGGAGAGGTCCCTAACAGCTGACTTTCCCATACGCCTTTTACTTTCCTGTCTACTGGTGCCAAGAGTGTTGACTGTGAGGCCAAGCAAACTAAAGCTGTGAACAATCTCAATCTCTTCACCATCCATCCTGATGCTGCCAATTGGCCCAGTGGTGAGAATCTTTGTCTTCTTGATATTGAGCCTCAGTCATATCATATAAGTTCGACTCATTGCCATTACGGTAGATCTATTAAATGACTGATGCTCCCGTGGGTTTGGCAAGTGGTAAATCCCACCAGAGGAGACACCTTTCTCCTGCAGAGATGCGCTGTCAGAGAGCCCCCTAGTGGAAGAGCAGTGAAGAACAGTGATGTAATCTGAGCCCTGCTGGAGCTAAGAGTCTATTGGATAGTTTTGCAAAGGAGGCTGAGAGATCAGGAGGGATGTCCTCAGAGGCGAGGAGGTGGAGCTGCAATTTTGAAGGGACCTGCCAATTTCCATTTGTTGGTGTCCCTGCTAGATGGCTATGAGTCAGAACAGAATTGAGCCCTGCCGGGTTCTGCACCTTTCCTTGCAATCACCGCTCTGTCTGAGCCCCTTGTTGTCCGTCTCATTGAAGGTCTTCCTCCTGTTTTACTGACCCTCTGCACTTTTCCGAGTGCATGTCTTTCTCCAAGGACTGGATGGGTCGCGCTGCCTCTGCAGAAGCAGGAGTCAGGCTGGTAGAGATCTGAACTTTGACTTTGCCACTTAACTGACAAGTCAAGTGTTCTTCTTAGCAGAACAGTAACTCCCCCTGTGAGGTGGTTCCTGGAGGGAAGAAGATGTCCAGACATACCCCGGGCTTCTGAGTCCAGAGTGAGAAGAAAGCTGGGATCCTAGCCTACGGGGTGCCAATGCGAGGGAGGTAGAGGCTGAGAGCCTGCTCTCTTGGGTTCCAGAAGGAGGAGGTGTTTGGAAACCTGGGTGCCTGTCTTCCTGGAGAGGCTAAGATTCCAGTGGGGTGCAAACAGCTTGTGCTTAACCACTAATTGAAAAGTTAGTGATTCAAACCTGCCCAGTGGTACCAAGGAAGGAAGGCCTGGCAATCGCTGCCATATAGAGTACAGCCAAGAAAGACCAATGGGTTTGTTTTGTTTTGTTTTCTCAGGAGTTCATCTATCCCAACCAATCAAAGTAAATATAACTAGAGAACTCAGCATGTCTGTGAACTCAGTATTAGCACAGTCCACCTGAAGGAAAGATACTTATCCTTCCTTCCTTCCTTCCTTCCTTCCTTCCTTCC